CTTCTTCTTCTTCTTCTTCTTCTTCTTCTTCTTCTTCTTCTTCTTCTTCTTTTTCTTCTTCTTCTTCTTCTTCTTCTTCTCCTCTTCTTCTTCTTCTTCTTCTTCTTCTTCTTCTTCTTCTTCTTCTTCTTCTTCTTCTTCTTCTTCTTCTTCTTCTTCTTCTTCTTTTTAGTCTTCTTCTTTTTCTTTGTCTTCTTCTTCTTCTTCTTCTTCTTCTTCTTCTTCTTCTTCTTCTTCTTCTTCTTCTTCTTCTTCTTCTTCTTCTTCTTCTTCTTCTTCTTCTTCTTCTTCATCTTTTTATTCTTCTTCTTCTTATTATTATTATTATTATTATTATTATTATAATTATTAGTATTATTTACTGACTGTAAACTCCGAAGGAAATTTCTGGTTATTTCTCCAATTCTGGATTTAGTCTTGATCCTTATCTTGAGTTTCACGTGCACATCCATTTTACAGACATGACCTTTGCTGGTATGCAGGCGGTTGGTTCCTAACATATCAAGCAGATGCTCTCTGACTTTGAATGAAACACCCTAACTAGTCGACTCTTACGACATGCTTGTTAGGGTGTAGGGGTCCATTATAGTGTTCTTCCCCTCCTCTACAATGAGACCCCGTGACCCACACTGGGAGTGGCGAGAGCGACGTTCTGCTACGAACCTCGTGTTGATAGAAAGACCTGAGAAAATCCCTTGTAGAGAATCTCAATTTCCCTCAGACTTGCCAATCTGGGAACTGCCTCATTGAATTCAAATTAGCTTATTCTGGACCTAGCCTTCGCCTTGCAGGTTAAAACACAGTGTTTATCTCCTGTCTGTTTTCTACTTTTTTAGTAATATCGAATTGTGAGGGTAGATTGACACCCCTGGGGTGCCCTCTGCTGTTAGCAGGAGCATCACAGAGCAGGGTAGTAATCGAAAAGGTTGCTGAAGGATGAGGACGTAGTCTAACGCCATGTGGATGTGGAAAGCAGGGAGAAACTATCACATTACTATCCCAAGAGACTTACCATGGAAGCCAGGAGAAATATTGACATCTTGAAAGATCTGAACATCAAGGAAGATTGGCTAATAAACAGCATCCTGTCTCGGAAGCTGAAATATTTTGGTCATATCAAGCGCCACGACGGATTGGAAAAAAATAATCGCAGAAGGAATGGTACCAGGACGAACGGGGCAGGAACCGATCAACACGAAGATGGGCACAGGATATAAGTGACTCCTTGAATATAAAAGGGCGGGAGAGCTGGCGAGAGACCTAGTTTCTGTCAGGCAGACCGTGATGAGAGCGACGTTCGGCAAAGGACTTGCTACAGGATGATGATTATGATGATGATGGGGTTCAGCTGGTGGAAGAAACATTGCCACCCATTACTGTGGATCGAACCCGTATGAAAGTCCAGTCGGGTAACCACTTGGCCAGCCGCTCCGTTATCTTGCAAATTCTGCCCGGTCATTAAACCCTTCGCTTGGGGGTGGTAAAAGGGGGGGGGGGGGCGGGGGGGCTGGTCGTAACTCATTTCCTTAAATTCCTTGTGTTGTCCATCAAGGTGATGATGATGACCAGTCTTTCTCATCACGTATGAGTACGAAGATGACCGATGAGGCCGATGCGGGCCCGAAAAGTTCTTGGATAGTGAGGACAGGGAATGAGTGTTGTGCCAGGGAGGAGATCTCCTGCAGTCGACTTTCTGTCCATCCTTTTCTGAATCAGTCTTGCTGTTCTGTTTGCTTCACATGTAGCCGCGCTCTTGTGTAGAGTTGCACGCCATGCATTTCGGTCTTGAGAGGCAGCCTCCCAATTGGTGTCATTCATCCCAAATTCTTTGAGTGAAGACTTTAAGACGATGTCCTCAAAGCGTTTCTTTTTGTCCGGCTTGGGAACGTTTCCCATTTTGCAGCTCACCTTTAATTAGGGGGGGGGGGGGGTGGTTCTGTGATCTGGCATGCGTACCAAATTCCATAGTTGTCTGTCAAATCACCAGCTCTAATTTGACCTGCGCCTGCATTGATGAACCTTATCATGAAAAGACATCAAACCAGACGAATAGCAGATCTAGTCAGCTTTACATTGTCACAATCACAAAGCGCAAATGAGCGTTGCGGCTAGAAAGCCCTTATCAGAATAGACAGTGTTACAATAGCAAACTAGAAAACACAGAATCACTGAACTGATGTCTCTTTAGAAAAATCCGGGGTTCTTTTCTGTAAACTCACCGTATCACGAAAGATTTAGGGAAATCCCATAGTATAGGGGGTTAGAGTTAGGGCTATTGTTAAATGAATAGCGACTACTACTAACTTACCCCCCCCCCCCCCCCCCCCCCCCCCCCACCTTTTCCGTCCATACTATGGGATTTCCCTAAATCTTTCGTGATGTTGTGACTTAACAGAAAGGTACAAAATCCGCACTATGCATGTCTGTCTTCAATTATTATTAGTGCAGAAATCAGAGGGGCATGCCAAGCCCCCCCCCCCCCCCACCCCCAATCATTTCAATTGTTAGTGGCTGAAGGACCCCTTCCTTCCGATCCCCACCCCGACTATGATGAAAACATTTGCAAGGGGATTAAGTGTCTGTGGCTTGGGCGTTGCGAACGCGCTTCGTAATGCCGTGGTGCCAGTTTCAATCCCAGCTGCCGACTGTGTGTCTTGCGTTCGTTTCGACAGTAGTGCCGAAAGCTGACTGTTCAGTAAGCAGTGGCAAACTACCGAATCTAAAATCTCCTTAGAAAACCCCCCACAGCCAAAAACTGCAATAGTCCTGTAAAGGATACACAACTAACTTTCTGAACATGTCAGCGTCTGTGGATTAGACGTAGCACATGCATTGTCTAGTGAAATCACATACAAAAAATTATGGGATGGCTCTGCAATATCCTGTAATGGATACGTGCAATTCCTCTCCCAATGTGAAACGTAATTTTTCGTTATTCTAAAGCCCTAATATAATATATCGGTTGAACGGGGTTTCTGGGACTTATGGGTTGTTTTTAGATATGTTTTGTTTCTGGGACTTAAGGCCGGGTAATCTTCATCTGAATGGTGGCACTTTGTGTCACTGGGTGTTTATCGCACGGTGAGATGTCCTGGTGGGCTTGAATGTCATCACTAATGGATACGCAACTGACATATTACCTTGTATAGAAGTTATGTTTATGTATATATATATATATATATAAAAGAAATCGTTAATTTTGCTTTGTTAAAGGATCAAGTTCATTGCACCTGGTTTTATACTAACACGGCTCGGTGTTTCTCCGCACAGCGATAGCCGGCTGACGAGCAAAAAAGCATGAATTTTGCAGGTTCTGGGAGGAATCCCAGAGAATTCAGTTTAAAAAAAAATTGGTGCTTATGAACCGAAACGTTACAGCTCTGAAAGAAACCACGACCTTCAAACGGCTCGACCTCTTCACCACGAAGATTCCCCCCCCCCCCCCCCCCCCCGCACTAGATGGTCAACATCACGCTGGTTGCCTTTACTTTCCAGGACATTACCTGATACCCATTTCAAGCTAGGTCGACCTGGAATCAAGGTCTTTTTATTCTTCTTCACGTTCACCGGCTGTAAACTCCGGTGTATAGTTCTGGTTGTTCAGCCATTTCTGGGTTTTTGTTTTGCTCCAGAACTTGAGTTTCGCATGCACAACCATTTTACAGATCTGATGTATTTGTAAGCAGACTGTTGGTTCCTCGGCTCTTAGGCAGATGCACTGCGACTTTAAAGGAAACACCCCTAATTAGTATGCTTTTACTAGATGCTTGTTAGGGCAACTTCTGTGACCTCAGTGCTAAGATAGAATCAGAGAACACAGGTTGTGAAAAGATTATGGAAAAACATGGTCTAGGAGTAATGAATGAAAACAGATAATTATTCACCAATGTTTGTGCAGGAAACCAGTTTGTTATTGGTGGAAGCATTTTCCCACATAAAAGAATACACAAGGCAAGATGGGAATGGCCAGACCATAAAACAACCAAATAAACTGATCACATAGGTATATAACAAAAAAATGTTGATCATCCATTTATGATTTTGGAGTGTTTGGATGTGCCGATATATTTACAGACAACTTTCTGTTGAAGTAAAATTGAGTTGAAGCTTAAACACCAATGTAGAGCTTTGGGAGAAAACTAAACAAGTTTCAGTGGATAAAGAAGTGCAGAAAAGACTATGGTGCTAGATAGGACACACGTTGAGAAGACCTGAGAACAATATAACTAGAATGTCTTTGCACTGGAACCCACAGGGGCAAAGAAATTAAGGAAGCCCAAATAAGCAGACTGAGAAGAGAGCTAAAGAGTGAAGCTGAAACGATGGGGGAGGACATGGGGAGAGTGGTGTGGGATAGCGAAGGATAGAACGACTTTGCGTGAGTTGTTTGAGGGCCTATGCTCCATTGGGGGCTTGAAGGCAGAAAAAGAAGAAAAAGAAATGCTTGTTGTTAGGGAAGGGAGTGGATTTATCGCCCCCCCCCCCTCCCCCACTCCCAAGTGAGGCCGCAAGAGAAGGATCCAATATCAATATGAACAGAAAAATATAAGTTAGACTTGTTTGCTGTTTGCTTCATTGGCTGTAAACCCAGATGGAAAGACCTGTAGGACCTGAGTTTTGCATGTGCATTCGTTTTACAGATCTTGCTATTTGTATGCAGACTGTTGGTTCTTTGACCTGTCAGGCAGATGCACTCTGACTTTGAAGGAAGCTCCCAGTTAGTCGACTTTTACGAATATGCTTGTTGGGGAAGGCAATGGAATGGATCTTGTTTTTGTCACAGTGGGACCCTGGAACCAACATAGGGAAAAATAAAGACTTGTGAATTCGAACCCTTGAGACTTTTAAGTCTTACCACTACATTGCCTTGGCTCCTGTGGTTTATTATTATTATTATTACTACTACTACTATTATTATTATTAATCATATTACATAACATGTAATCATCCAAATCCTTGTGTTACTAACTTCCTCTACTCTCCTTATTTTACTCCTACAGAAAAGCCGGAAAGATGTCAGTAATTTTGACAGGGAGTTTACTTCGGAGGCTCCGAAACTAACACCAACAGACAAATTGTTTATAATGAACTTGGACCAGTGTGAATTCTCTGGATTTTCTTATGTCAACCCGGAATTTGTGGTCACTGTTTAAATTTGGACGTTTCTTTTCTAGCTCTGTCTTTACAGTTTTACATTATAATTTTTAACTAGCTTTTATTTTATGAAGAATATTTAAATTTTACAATACTAGATTTCAATTTTATGTATGACTTTATACTTTTAGAATCTAATTTTTGGTACCATTCTATTTTATAAAGACGTTTGATATAAGTGATTTTATGCTGTAGGAGTATCTAATATGAACCGAAATAGTAAAAATTTTATATTGCTGAAAAGTCTGATTTTTTCTTTAAAATTCATTAAATATCACAGCTTCTTTAGTGGCTATTATTGAAAACAAAAGAGGGTAGCGATGTCTGTGGCTTAAGGGTGGTAAACACAGTTTTATAATTCAGAGATTCCGGGGTTCAAAGTTAGATGCGGGCGATTTGGTCATAGAACAGCATAAACGTTGTGCCATTCAGAAAGCCCTGGCAAGCTACTGGGAGGAAAACTGTCTATTAAAACTATAATTTCTTTTTTAACTCTTGGTGCAGAGTTGCACACATTGCTTCAGAGGTCCAGGGTAGTTATGTGTGTATGTGCCGTGCAACAGCACCAGGAGATAAAAACGAGCGACCAACACTTGGTGACACAAAGTGACTCCATTCAGATGAGGATCATCCGGGCACAAGTCCTAGAAACCCCATTCAGCTGTTAAGTTATATTAGGACCCCTGACTACAGCTGGGGTGAGGCCTTAAAATAACCCAAAAAATTGAGGGACGTGAGTGCTCAACCAGGGTAGTTAGCATGCTTTGGATATTTTCTCCGAGTTATGCAGATGTGTTGATCAACGAACAGGAAGATTGACTGGTTCTCCACCACTTTAATGGTGAGCTGATGCCTGACAAGCTAGATGTTGTCAAGGTCTTTTGAGTGATCACTACAGAGGCATCATTAGATTATCATGGTATGAAGAGAACGGTGCAACAGGGAGTGATGAGTGGATGTTACCAACATTCCACACTCAAGAGTGTTATGTGTCGACCAGAACCACTGGTTGCTGCCTGTTCCTCTGTTGTCAAGGTCTTTTGAGTGATCACTACAGAGGCATCATTAGATTATCATGGTATGAAGAGAACGGTGCAACAGGGAGTGATGAGTGAATCTTGCCAACATTCCACACTCAAGAGTGTAATGTGTCGACCAGAACCACTGGTTGCTGCCTGTTCCTCTGGGCATGAGCTGCTTTATATAAAGGCAGACATAATGACAGCTCTTTAGGATCTTATTTGCACATATTCTTTTTGTTCAAACTCTCCATATTTTTCTTGGTCATTCTAAAGAAAATAAGTTCTTGCCATCATCTATCACAGACAGAAGTTATATTGTCTATATGTATGTAAATTATTAGTTTAACTACTTCTGTACCATATTGTCCCTCAGACCAAAGTATTTACTGCTTTTAAGCTTGGCTTCTTAGAATAGAAATCTTAAAAAGATTGCAAAAGATAGAGATGAGAAAAGATAGAATATGGTAAGAAAAATATAAAGTATATGTCAGTTTTACAAAGCCGCTTACAACAAACAAATAGGGAATGTTGCTGTGATTAGCCCTAATCAGGAGAACAGATACAAGACACACACAAATGAACTGAAATGAAATGACTTCATCAACTTGTTCAAATTTATTATGTAAACAAATGGAGAAAAAAAAAATATTAAATAGCAAAATGGCGTCAGGTGTGTAATACTTACTTGGACCACTGAATTAGAGAAGGTATTCAAGTCATAACTGCTTCAGACTGAAAAAAGTTGATTAGGAATGAAAGACATTACCACCCACTCTATAGGTGTGCTGGTTGTCACCCTTGGCCAAGAGACTGGGGGTCTATCTAGAACAGAGAAATCAGTAGAGAAGTGTGAATGAAGAGCATTACCATCTTCATCAAAATCATTACAAATAATTGAAGGTAGGCTACAGTGTGCCTTCTGCTGACTCTGGGAATACTGCGTGGTGAAGCTCCCAATCTTTTCCACGGTGCGACGTTTGTGCTAATGTCCCCCAAACCACAAGACAGGTTTTGTTTTTTATCATGATAAGGTATCAAACCAAATAAAAAGTAGAACTTGTCAGCTTCACACTATCACAACCACAAACTACAAGTAAACATTCCGGCTAGACAACTTTTACCTGCACATATGACAAAGAAAGACATGTACAATTACAAACTAGCGCAGGCGTCGATGAAATGAAAGAGCTGACAGGTTGGCTGGATCCGCTATCACTACTGACGGTCGGCCTATGGATCATGCTGATATTATCAATGCCCACAGAGAAATGGGAAGGATAGAGGACTTTGGTGGCAGTGAATCCACATCACTCGCCAGAATGGCAGACTTGGGAATTAAGATCGGCACAGCAAAAAACTAGACGCACACCGGACACGTCAGAAGACTTGTTAATCAACATAGAACGGGTACTATTAGCCATCGGACGTTGGGGTTCATACTGAGGGGAGGATCTGAGCACCTATGGACATGTCCGAAGTGCAATGATGATAACCCAACTAACTAACTAACTAACTAACTAACTAACTAATCCACAACATTAATGACTTTTAAAGATCCTCCAAAACTGGTCTTGAACACACTCATTTTGTAAGCTGCGTGTGGTAATTGCAATCTTTCGAACCTTTTCTTGTGATCACATCTTTGGTGATCATACAGTCAGGTAATTAGACTTAAGAGACTAGATCACATGTTTTTGGGGTAATTTTATTACAGATCTACTTTTCAATTTGATTGTATAGACTTACAGTGGTTCCATTTTGATGAGCCTTGGACCACTGGGAATCCGTTTCAAAAATTTAAGTGGCTCGTGATATTATATATAAAATAGTTTAAAAGAAAACCTCAGCCGTCATTTTTGTGATTCTAATAAAGTTTTACTGTTTTGCTACTTTTATTTTTTATATGACTATTAAAAAGGACGAGGTTCATGTGGCAGACCTTTACAAGTAAGAAGATTCCACCAGTCTTGTCCTATTTGGAGCCGCTGGATCTGATTAGTGACTCTTTTAGTCCAAGGTTCATGAATGAAAAAAAATAATGAATGATTCAAGAATTGACCAGACTGCACTTGAGACATTCCCACATGTGCTCCATCCCCTTTTTCAGCAACCAATGAAGAGTTGACATGCTAATAGCACCAGTTGCAACCTGATTAAAAGTCTGCCTCTGTTTCCCCTTTAATGTTGAATATCTTCCAGAATCCCCCCCTCCCCCCTCAGTGTATGGATTCCCCATCTGTTCTTTTGCACTGTCCATTTAATCCCAGTAGAGTCTTAACCCCACCTGCTTGATCATATAGTAGCTCACTACCCAGAGGAGAGGAGCAGCAGCAGCTAATCTATCAGCCTGCTCATTGCCTTGCAAACCTAAATATTCTGAACCAAAAATCTGTGGATTTAACATCAGAGGTCCAATGGGTAGTAAAAACAAAGGTTTTAAAACAGGCAGATCTTGGATCCTTCCTTGAGACTGAAGGAGTTAATGAAAATGTAATAATTTATCAATCTATAATTTATCAATCTAATAACGTTTTTGGGAGTCATGGCATAATGGCTAGACGCTCGCATGCGAATGGAATGTCGTGGCTTTGCTCCCTGGCGGAGCTGGACTTCTAAAAAAAATGACCTTGACTCCCAGGTCGACCCAGTCTTAAGTGGGTACCGGGTGCAGTCCCAGGAAGTAAAGGAGCCGACATGATACTGACCACATCACCCATCTTGTGCCGATTGGATTATAAAAATGTAGGTCTAGCCCTATATGCCGTATACACCTAAAGGCATTTAAAAGGGTCCTTTACTTTACTTATTAATTTTCTTGTCATACAAGAGGACAGTTAAATTCATTATAAATTAACACATGGTTTGATCCTTGATAAGAAAAGGTTAAAACATGTTTCAAGTTTGTCTTTTTTTTTTTTTTGTAAGTTGTCTATTGTCCATTGAGTACTTCCAGATACTCATCTTCCTATTTTCTATTAACTATAAATGTTAATTTCTTTCTTTATTTTCATCACTTTCATTTTATATGTTCTCTGTGTGGAATTAAGCTTGTGTACATTTATAGTATGTTTATATATTTTCTTATGCTGAAACTTACGTCTTTTACTACGAAAGTTCTTTTAACTATACAAAATGTTCATACATTGAAATGAAAGTGTGATTTGTTTTATTCATCACCTCTTTGTTTTCATCAAGATCCTCCCCCCCCCCCCCCCCCCCCCTCCCCCACCAAAAAATAAACAATTTGAGAAGGGAGCTAGAGAGGGAAGTAAAAAAGGTAGGGAGGACATGGGGAGAGCTGCATGTAAAAGCGAAGATAGAACGAGAGCCTATGCTTCACTAGAGGATGAAGAAGAAATGAAGTCTTATAGAATAGATCGCTGCCCTTAAGCATGCATGTCGTAAAAGATGCCTAATTAGCGTTTTCTTTAAAGTTGGAGTGTATCTGTCTGAAGGGGCAAGGAATCAGCAAGCTGCTTACAAATATTTATTTGACCTTTGTGTGCTTCACTTCCTGTTTGACAAAGGCTGCCCAACTAAAACGTTACATTATTAGTGTTGTTTTGTGCACGTTTTTCTGCTTCCTTTTTGGTTAAGCTTTTTAGTCAAATTTCACACTGGAATTGCTTACAAATAAGCCAGCTCTAAAACTCTGTGATATGCACACAAAACCAAAGTCCTGGAATAAGACCAAAGCCCAGAAGTGGAAGAACAACCAGAACTTTTCCGCGGAAGTTTATCGGTGGTGAACATGAAAGAAGCAAAGAAGATTGCTGGGAATTGAACTTCCAGAAAACCAGTGTGTTGATAAGTAAGTTAATTACCCATTATGCCATAAGAATTCTCATTTGTTTAGAAGACTGTACTTTTTTGTTTTTGTGATCTGTTAGCATGACACCTTGTGGATCAGGGTTCCGGTATCTTAACTGTTTGTTGCTACTGTGCAAAATATTTGTTTAATTAAATAATGGTCACCT